TTCAGTCTGGCCCCAGCTGGCTGGCTCTGGTCTCCGGGCGTGTACATTTCTCCTGCCACCCCGAATCTCACCCCACCCTGTGTTTCCAGAACTCGCCCTCGGCCTGCACAGGGCACCGCCACCCTCTCTCCTCAACCAGCTCTCCCAGCGTCACGGCGCCTGCAGCATCCAAACTCTAAAAGCCAATTGAACGGATGCAGAACTGAGGTCAACAGCCCCACAGGCGGGCGATGACAGAAGCTGGCCCTGGAGCGTGTCCCTTGGGTTCGTTATCATTCTTACACGCCCAGCTCAGCAGGCACCCCTCCTCTTGCCAGTCAGCCCAGGAGAACATCCAGGGATGGAGCAGTTTCAACCCCCCCCCCATGGACATCTGCTGACACCCCAAGAAATGAATGAATGAATTCCGGACACCCAATATAATCGTCCTGAGACCTGCCTGCACCCGCACTCCCTTCCCCATCCGTCCTCTCCCGCCCCTTCTTTCTAAGCCCCTTGTAGTGGCCGCCCCGGGCGATTCTCCCTCCCCTTCTCTGAGCATCTCTTCTTCCTGCGGCTCCTCTGCCCCCGATGCTGGATCCTCCGCGTCCCCCGCTCCTGAAGGTGCCCCATGGCCACTTTGGACTCGCTTTCCAGGACAGTCTACACTCCCTCCTCCACTGCAGTCAGACTGCTGTCCTCCCCAGGGCCCCTGGGACCTCTGGTTTATGGCCTCCTCGGACTTCGCCTGGGTCACCGGCCCATCACCACCCAAGGGGGCTGCAGTGGGGAGCCAGGGGCAGGGATGGAGCTGGGAGTGGGGCCCAGGGCTGCTTGGGGGTGTGTGTCAGAATGTGGAAGCACAAGAAACACTGGTGTCGTTCTTTAAATATTGGTAGAATTCACCCCTAAGCTGCCTGATCCTGGGCTTTTCTGTGTGTGTATGTGTAGCAGGGGAGAAGAGGGGCGGTTTAATCAACTCAACCTCCTCATTCACTAGCGTCCAGTTGCTATTTCTTTCTTTTTTTAAATATATTTTATTGATTTTTTACAGAGAGGAAGGGGGGCGGATAGAGAGTCAGAAATATCGATCAGCTGCCTCCTGCACGCCCCCTACTGGGGATGTGCCTGCAACCAAGGTACATGCCCTTGACGGGAATCGAACCTGGGATCCTTGAGTCTGCAGGCCGGAGCTCTATCCACTGAGCCAAACTGGTCAGGGCGCTATTTCTTTTTAATATATATTTTTACTGATTTCAGAGAGAAACATCAATGATGAGAGAATCATTAACTGTCTGCCTCCTGCACGCCCCCTACTGGGGATCAAGCCCGAAATCTGGGCATGTGCCCTGACTGGCAATCGAACCCTGTCCTCCTGGTTCATATGTTGCTGCTCAACCACTGAGCCACACTGACTGGGCCAGTTGCCCTTTCATCTTGGGTCACTTTGGGGTTTTTTGCATTTCTAGGAATTTGCTCAGCTAGGTTATGACTTCTTGGCACACAATTGCTCCTAGTGTTGTCATCCTTGCTTCTGTACGGCTGTACTGAGCCCCCCCCCTTCATTTCTGATTTTTGTGATTTGTGCCTTCAGCTTAACTAAGGGTTTGCTCGTTCTGTTGCTTCTCAGAGGCACTGGTGCTCCGTTCATGTTTCCCTGGTCTCTAGCTCACCCCCCTCTGCAGGCTCTGCATTAGCCTGCTCCCTCCAGGTCCTTCGGAGGTTAAGGGTATTGAGCCCCCATTTCCATGCAGACATTACAGCCATAGCTTTCCCGCCAGCATCCCCTCGCACCGCACACACTTTGTCTCAGTCACTGTGCTTTCTCCTTTGACCCTTCGCTGTTAAGAGTTAATTTCCACGCATTTGTGAATTTGTTTCCCTCCCATTAGACATCTAGCTCCATCCCACTGTGGTCAGAGAAGGTACTTTCTGTGATTTCAATCTGACATATTGGGACTTGTCTGTGGCCTCCCATGTGGTCTGTTGGGAGAATGTGCTGCTGGGTGTGTTCCCAGTCTGGCTGGTTTGTGATGGTGTAATATTTGGTAACACATAGGAACACACAGGACTCACTGAGGTGAAACCCAGGGAGCCACCGCCCACTAGCGATCAGACTTTGCTCTTCCTGACACCCCATCCCTTCCCCAAGGGGAGCGGGTGAAGGAACCCCATGAAATGCACGGCTGGAGCTGAGCTGAGAGGGCACCTGCTGTACCCACACCCGCCCCTCTGTCCTGCACTTGGAGAGGAGCCCACGATGATGCCAGGGCTGTGGCCCGTCCCACTGCCCTGCGCCCAGCAGTCACCGCTCAGGTCTGTCCCGCCTGCGGCCTGAGTAGCTTGCAGCCTCCTGCTCCCCGCCTGGCCTCGCCACACCCCCCAGGTGCGCGTGCAATGCAGGGGGCCGGGGGCATCAGGCCGGGACCAGGCCTGCTTGTGCGCGTGCGCGGTGCGGGCTGCTGCTGAAAGCAGTGCGGGCGGCCGGTCCCCGCGGGGCCTTGCTCATCCCTGGGCGGGGCCCCTGGCATGAACCTCAGGGGTCCCCTGGGGCGCCCGCTCACCCCGCAGGCAGACCAGCAGCTGCCCACCTGGCGCCCCAGAAGGTCAACAAGAAAGGAAGGCACCTGGTTCCTCCGCCAGCGAGGCCGACGCCCCTGGACAGGAAGGGCGGGGGCTCCCCCTGCGGCCAGAGGCCCCCCTGCCGGCTCCTGGCCCCGCGCCCACGCGAGGGAACAAGGTGGCGGGGGCGTCTCCAGGCCCCGAGACAAACATTTCCCGACCGCAGGGCAGCCCAGGCCTCGGCCAACTTGGGAAATTCCAGGGACAGGAGCTCCCGGGCGGGGCGGGCTCGGCGCAAGGAGACCTCAGCCACGTGGGAACCCTTTAATGAGGGGCGGGCGCCCCACCGGCACTGCCGGGCTCGGGGCGGAGCGGCATGTTCACGGGGGCGGGGGCGGGGGCGGGGGGTGAAGGGAACGAGGCCGCGCCTGCGGGAAGTTCGTGTGGGGCCCGTCCGCGCGGGCAGGAGGGGACCGGACCGGACCAGCGCCCGGACCAGCGCCCACCGGCACCTCGCCACGTGCTTCGGCCCGGTCACTGTTCTGGGGGCGGCCAGCTGGTTGGCCCTGGTGGGCGGGACGTGAATGCAGAGCAGCGAGGGGCGGGGCGGGGCCGGGGC